GGGGGGGGGAGAAAGAAGTACAGAAATCTGCAGAAACTGGATTCCAAAATGAACTCTGCTCCTTTTCTTGAACTAAAAGTACTTGCTTAAAGATTTAATAATATTTGTTAGGTTTCTAAATATTAAATTAAGCCCTATTAAAGATTTGAAAACAAAAATATTTTTAAAAAAAGATCTGTGTAAACAAAACCGTCCTGATAATCGTAATGCTAATACAGGTCTAATGTCAACTGTCCACCATCTCTTCATCCGCCCATGGGAGTCAGACTGACCAGAGGCAGTGTCTCCAGCAGCATCTCCACCATGGCTCCTTCTTTGTACTGCTTGAAAGCTTCTGCCTTCTTAACCATCTGCTCGGCCTCGGCACGGCCCTTAGCCTCCAGAGCAAAAGCCTCTGCCTCACCCTTCATCTACATGCACACAAATAAACTGCAGTTAAGCTTCAAATAGAAGGGCGCAAGACTACCAGCACTGACAATGATGATATTTAGTAGCTGGGGAAAAGAATGGAGGACACAAAGGCCACATGAACTCACTTTGATTGACTCAGCCTCTGCCTCAGCCTCCATGATGAGCTGCAGGCTGCAGGAGAAATGCGAGAATGACCTCAAATGTACAGATGCTCACGCCCTTGTGACTGCAAACTATTCAGCTCTCTTCATAACTAACAACAATTTGATACTCTAGTACTCACCGCTGTGCCTCAGCCAGCTTCTCCAGTCGGTATCTCTCTGCTTCTGCAGGCTTCTTAACTTTGGCCTCCAGCTCCTTCTCCTTGCGGATGATCTCCTGCTCCTGCAGAGTAATCTGCTGGGACCGCTCCACCACCTGAACCTGCATCTTTTCCTCCTCAATGCGCTGCTTGGTCTTCGCCACCTAATGAATAAGGCAGAAGAAAAACATCAAACATTGCTCAGCCTTAGATCACTGAGAAAAAAAATGAGCAGATATAATCTGCATTCTGGACTGGTCTTAGTACAAACTTGACCAGCCAAGCCTAATAAAACCTGTGAACTCTCTACAAGCTGAACAGACTGACCAGGCATAACGTAACAAAACCACAGTAAATTCAACGGCCCTAGAGGACTGGACCACAGACAGATGACTGTACCTGAAGCTGATGGACCACAGACAGATGACTGTACCTGAAGCTGATAGGCCATTTCTGACTCAGCCTTCTTGGTGTTGACCTCAACATCATAGGCTGCCTTTTTCAGCTCATAGTCTCTCTGGGCTTTTGCCATCTCAATTTCATTCTTGTACTGAGCTGACACTTTCTCTTGCATTGCGTGGGCTTCCTATAAATTGAGTATCAGGATAGAAACAGAGAAATTTAAGTATTTCTTTTCAAATATTGGATTAGTCTTGTTTCCAGATTGCCCAAATGAACAAATAGCCAGAATGACAGAAGTAAAGAAAGAACAAAGGAGTGTTTTACCCTGATGACAGCATCCCGCTTGTACTGAGCCTCTCCAATCCTGGCATCCTTCTGAACCTGGGCTGTTCTGGCTTTACCCAGGGAGTGAAGATAATCCTGCGAGAGCAAAAGCATTAGTTTGAATAGTAAAAAGGAAGGTAGTGCATTAAGCAAATATAAATATGAGATAGTGTGGCTACCAGAGAAGCACTTAGGCCTCGCTTATCACTCAGAAGGGTTGGGGGTTGACTGAGTCAGACACAGTGAGTCAGTAACAATCCTCTAAGTGCATTACCGTAACAGAGGAAATCATCCGAGGCTAAAAGCTTTCATGTAAAAGATGTGGGCTCACAGTGGCACTACAGATGCCCTGTGCCCCACTGATTATGGTGTTTTGATCATCAGATTTTTGTCATTAGTAATGGCAGAAAATGAACCCAAACAGAAATAAAGTACCTGATCATCATGAACATCTTTGAGCGTGTAGCTGACAACACCAATTCCCATGTTGACTAGGTCAGAAGAGGCCACCTTAAAAACCTGCTCGGAGAACTTCTTACGGTCCTGGTAGATCTCCTGCACAAAGAGACATATAGATATTTGTTACCGTCATTACATAGAGTATATGAATCGTAAACATAAAGCCTCTGAAATCTCTTTCATGAGTGGAAAATGTCAGGCAAAGCCGGCTGAAGATGTCTGGGCACCAACCTCCACAGTCAGGTGAGCGATGATGGCTCTCTGGTGTCCTTCCAATGTTTCCAGGGCAATCTCGGTAATTTCAACATCAGACTTACCCATGAACATCTGGCAGGCAGTGGCCAACATCTCCTTGTTCTGGCCCTGGATTTTCACCTGGAAAAGGACGGAGAAATAAAATGTGACACAGTGATGGCTTTTAACAAGGCTGGACAGAAAGCTGGCCTTGTCTGACTTTATGTTTACAGTTCAATAAGCCAAGTCACTAGCACAGAAATTAAAAGATGCTGCATGATGATTTGCATGTCTTTATTCTATTTGGTCAAAAACAGGCAGCTTTCATTTACAAAAAGCAATAACTCATTTAAATTCATTCCCAGTGGGGGAATCCCTCTGACGCTGTCCATCTAACCTGGGACCTTTTCCATCTTCCTTTCCCTCACAGTGAACAATCTGAAATGAATGAGTGAAATGAATATATAGGGGAGTTTTTGTTCTTGTAAATTTATTTTAACTAGTTTAATTTTCCCATGTTGCTTTATTTCCAACCTAATCATTCAGTAGTTACTTGTTCCTGTTCATTAATCTGTCAGTCGGTCAACAAGACTACGGCATGTGCGGGCAATAGAATATTTCTGTAGCTGAGTGTTGATTTAAAATCAACACTTGGCCAGGTCTCCCTTGAAAAAGAGATCTTGATCTCAGTGGGACTTCCTGTTAAAAAAAAAAAAGCAGCTGACCCCAATTCCTGCCTTTTGGTGTCTATGCAAAAATATTTTCACAGCCTTACAGTATTTCGGTCATGCAGTTCTCAAAGCATACCTGTGCAATGCCAGTGACGGAGATGGGGACCCCATGACGGGTGTACACTTTCTCACTCTTCACATTTAGAGTCATAGTGTTGAGTGTGATTCTGAGAAGAAATGGCATAAAAGGAAGGGGTGAAATGGAAATAACAGCAAGAGACAGACGGAGGAAATTAAATCAGTGCATCTGCTAATGACCAGCAGCCCGCTAACAGATACAGCACACATTGGATTGATAATCTTTAAAATAACAGATGCCAGTTCTTCATTATATAAATGTGTGTCTCCTTGATTTGCTGAACACATGTCAAGCCACTATGCCGTAGTGATATAAAATAAAAGCAAGAGAGGCTGGAAATTGGATCACCTCTGGATCTTCTGAATGCATGGGAACACAAACACTCTTCCTCCAGCAATCATCAGAGGAGGAGAACGACCAAACCCTGGAAGGAAAGAGAGGAGAGGAGAGTTACCAATATCTCTGTAGTGGAGCTGTGTCAAGGACATAGTTCAACTTGGAAACAGTGTAAATACTACTTTTCATTCATAGCCTACACATTACTTACAAGGGAGTTTTTCCTCCCCACTGTCACCAAATGCTTGCTCAAGGGGGATTTGTTTGGTTATTCTGTGTTATAATAATAACAGTAAGGTCTAGACCTTATGCAAAGTGTCCTCAGATGACTTTTGTTGTGATTTGGTGCTATGCAAATAAAACTGAATATAACTGAATTGAATTACTGTAAGCTGGGACAATCCTAGCTTACTCCAAACTGATCGTTAAGTGTTGCTCAATCATCTTTTCATGTCACAATTGAATCACTCACAAGCTGACTGGTCCACTTACACAAAACCTCTGTCCTTTTATTGCAAGATTATACTGACTTATTATAAATTATACTAGGACAACCTCATGCAGTTTGCATCAACACTGAATTATGGAGACTGATCATGTAACCAGATAGAATTCAAGTTCATATCTTACCAGACACTACCATGGCTTCATTGGGGCCACATGTGTAGAACATCTTGATTCCTAATTTGAGACCAAACTAATTAATACAACACACTGTAAAAGTATACACAGTACTACAGTTAGCAAAGGAAAACACGTGTTCTCTAACATCACTGGGGTGACTTTGGGTTAGGAAATGGTCAAATCAATTTGGAAAACCAAGTGTTTAACGCTAGGAAGGTCACGTATTTTGTTGATTCTGAAGTTAAAAGTAAAAGTAAAAGTAATAAAGTAATTCGGTTAATGAACCAGTGACCCTAAGCCTTATACCTAACCCAGCATTTTATGTATATAAGATATGGTAATAACCTAAGTCACAGACACAACAGGATATCTCCATCGTGACTGTTCTCTCCCCAACAACTCCAGTACAGAGCAGCCTTGACGGTGTTTATGTTGTCAAATAGAGCAGAAAAACTTGAAGAATAACGTCAGATATTTGACATGTTAAGTGTGAAACCTGGCTTAATAACGATCTGCAAAGCTAGATGTTTGCTAACTAACATTAGCTGTCCAATGTAAGCGGAATCGGGTCTGGGCCGATAACGCCAGCTACGACCGAGGAAGAAAGTATTCCTTACACTGCGGTTATGAACTGCTCCGAAACGATGCAACAGATCCAACTGATAGTTCCGTTTAACGTACCGATATCCGGCCAGTACAAAAAAACAATCTTCTTCTTTGTTTTTGTTTTTTGTTGTTGTTGTTGTTGTTTTAAAAACAACAATCCGTATCTCCTCAACTGGGACGCTAAAAATGTCTATCTGTAGCCTTTAATAGGGGGAAGTGGCCGCTGACCACGCCCAGTCTCTGTGACGCCAGTCTGGCGCCATCTAGTGGCCAGTAATGACAATTCTATCTATCTATCTATCTATCTATCTATCTATCTATCTATCTATCTATCTATCTATCTATCTATCTATCTATCTATCTATCTATCTATCTATCTATCTATCTATCTATCTATCTATCTATCTATTTGACTATAATTAGTGCTCATTATTGTGTTCATCATTTTAATGATACAGCTGCTAAAGGTGGAGCTATTTTTACATTTCTTAAGCTATATACTTAATTACTGCTAGGTAGCTAGTGAATTTCTCAACAAGGACCAATAAAATCTTATCATCATATTGTATCCTTTGATTCTGAAATGTCTCTAGTAAGTCTAAGTTATCAAATTAATATAGTTGAGTAAAGGTGAGCTACAATATTTGCCTCTTGAATGTGGTGAATTTTGAAGTAACATACATGAAAATACAGTACTTAAAAGTACAGATAGGCTACCTCAAAATTTTACAGTACTTGAGAAAATGTGCTTAGTTATTTTACACCACTGGCCCAGATATTTCCAAATAATGCCAAAGAACCCTGAGGAGCTGCTTGAGCTGACTGACCCCCGTTTTTCCCTGGTTTGAAACTGAAATGTATGCCATCTCTGCAGGTAAGTCACTTTATTTACATCCTACTGAGTGCTTCTGGACACCAGCTAGGAAAATTCTGGTCTTATCTCTCAATCTAATAAAAACTTTGAACATTTTGACATGTGATAGTAGTGTGGAGGCCCTGACCAGCCGCTGGTGTTCATGTTCTGTTCTGTGTTGAGTGGGTGCGGCCTTACTGTCAAAATCAGTGTGTTTGTATTGGTTGCCGCTATTTCCTGGGGAATGTTGTGTTGTTCTGTCCAATGTGGGGTTTGGGGAGGGACAGGTGTGTGAGGGTATAAGAAGGGTAACAGGTGGGCATGTGAGTCCAGTTGGCGCGGAACATGGGATGTCCAGAGAGGGTGTTGCTACTGCTTTCCTTTTTGCTTTTCATTTTTCCTGTGGGCAGACGGTGCCAGGTATATAGCAGTTTCATTTTGCATTCTCTATTTTGTTCAATAAATCCAAGAAAAGGCAGAGAAGGTGTTCTCCTCATTGTCAGCCTAGGTGCCAGCGCACATCTGGATAGTTGGATGTCCCAGTATAGGATAGGGTCAGACCGGCTCCGCTCATCCGAACCAGTGGAGCGCCACAGTAGGAAAAGCAGCTGTGTATCTAATAACATTATAACATGGCTGAGTTCTCGAATATTTTCAGCTACATTTGTGCAGTTTCTGCTATGAAATGTTAAAATGTCTGCAGTGGAAAGGGTCAATTTCCAGTCCCTGATCTGCAGCCGAGCCCCCCCATCCTCCAGGGCCCTGGCCACTCCCCTTGGGCGGTCTCCGTGCGCAGCTGCAGGGTCTGAGTCTGGCCACGCCCCATCCAGCCCCAGCCTCGTTCTGGAAATCCTCCAGCATTATAAATCTATTGTCCTGCACTCTCCAGCAAGTCTGCGGTCGGCTGCTCCAGTTAACAAAGTAACGTTTCTACCGGTCCTTGTAAAACTTTCGCATCTATAATGAGGGAAATCGTGCACATCCAAGCCGGTCAGTGCGGAAACCAGATTGGTGCCAAGGTAAGAAAATCAAATGACTGTTTATTTATTCATTTGCAAATGACCTTTTTCAGTGAATAAAACGCCCTATGCTCTCCATTAAGGACGCAGGCTATTCCACTTATTTGTAAAAGTCTATTTGTAGCAGATCTTTGTTTTAATATACGTTGACAAATGACTCCCTTTGTTTCCCGGTGCATAGCCTGAATAAAAAAAAAGATTCAAAACATATACCTTTTGTATGTTTGAACACATTATAGTCCTATAATGACAGAATATCAGTCATAAATAGTAAAAGCCAACAGTTTTGTGTTTTTTCAGCTTTAATCTTGTGCACTATAGAAACTGGTAAGTGGGTGTGGAACAACGGACCGGGTTCGCACTGGAATAGCGGCATAACGGGGCTCTTGTGTCTCGACTGGTTTTGTTCACACCATACCGGGCGTGTCTGCGTTTCTACACTGGATTCAGCTGATCCCAAGGCATTGTCTGGGGAAATGAAAAGGGGGAGAAATCTGTCCATTCTTCCCCCTTCAGGGTCCTCCAGTCAGTATGCCCCGCTCTCTGGTTCTTTGTCTTGCACAGGCAGATACGACTGGTATTTCAGACAATGAGTGGGAGCTGGGGTGGGAGGCCTGCTTTTTTTTTAAAGACCAAATGACTGGATCAATAGCCCATATTGATTATCTTTGTGGGCTGCAGATGGCACAGTGTTTCAGCTGGTGAGAAAGCAGGGAAGAAATAGAAAGGGTGTGGCATGAATATTTGGTAAAGAATCTGTCTCCTTTTTAAAATGACTGCATTTTCTGAGATAGACATTCTCACAGGAAGAAAATACACTAACTTATTTTCTAATGTCAATTTATATATACTTGTAATTCATTTGACACTATATTCTACACAATAGGGCCCCGCAGTCTGCCTCACAAATAGGCTACATTGCATCAACACATCACCCGCCCTATCTTGTAGCAACAATAGCAGAGTATGTGTATTTTGGGCACATTATTATCCCTGTCTTATTATCCCCGGTTGTTTTACAACTGATCATTTGCTACAGACAGCATGTATTTAAGTAGGACATCTCAAGTGCACAGAAGAATCTTGCCCTGGTTTTTAAATAAAGTTTGCAGACCACATTAACAATGAACCATATATGTTACAGGATCCATCATTATCTTGGTGATCCTCTGCTGACTGGGATTTTTAACGTCCTGTGTGGCAGGGCCTGTCTTCATAATCAATGCCTTTCCTCTCTTAACCAAATTAGGGATAGGGTGGGGGAGGAATGGAGGAAACAGCTGATGCACAGTGGGGGAAGTCACTGGCTTCTCAATTGACTTAATGTGCAAATGCTGGTGATGTCTTTTGTGTCTACAGGAAATGAATGCAACATATTACCATAATATATACTTTATTGAATTTTATAGCTGCTGTGAAATGCCAACTACAGTAAATAATTTATATGTATAAATGTAATTGAGTTAATGTTATAAATGTATATCAAACCCCCTTTTAAAAGCCTGGTATATGGTATATCTGTTTGAGCACTGTGGTATTAAAATAACTGCCGAGTGGTCTGGTGGTGAGGATCCACAGTGGTTTCCTTTCCCCCAGGACTCATTGACTCAGATGTCCGGTGAATATGATTGACAGAACTGCTGGTGAATTAGATCAGGGTGTGGCATTGCTTTTCTGCTTATTGTTCTTATTCTTTCACTCATTATTTATCACATCACTGTCAAATGTTCATTTTCTGTGTTTTAGCTGTTTCTTTTTGACTCTGTTCTTTTTCTTTGTTCTTCAGCTGCGATCTCCCCCATTAAGGTCGCTTGGTCATTTGTTTTTCATGGTCTTATATAAATGTTATGGCACTTGGTCCACAGCTGACTTTAGTCTCTTAAATACTGATCTGCAATACAGCCCACTTATCCAGATTACTATAAATCCTCCCACTGCTACAGTTAGCAGAAAATCAGAAAGTGTGACCCCAAAAAAGTTGAACCATTTCAGAGAAATGTGTGTGTGCAAATGGCTGCTTACATGTGCAGCAGTCACACCCTCTTATGGGGTTTTATGCATACATACTTTTGAAGAGTCCCTTAAGTGTGGCCTGTAAAAGGTGTACAAGACATGAATACAGAAGACAAACAGTGTCCTCAGTTTACTGTGACTGCCTGCAAAAGGAGTTTATTTTCAGCTTTGCTTTGGAGTGATCTGTAACCCCTTTGTGCTCCCTCCTTTGCAGTTTACATGTAAATCTATTGTATTCTGCTAAGTCATCGATTGATGACTATGGAAATATTAACAGCTGCATTTTATGAAATACAGTAGGTTCAGTTATAGCTCGATGAAGTTGGGGGAAAAAAATCCTGCAACTTTCATCAGAATGCAAACCCACTTCTGTTTTTCTTGTTAAAGTCCCATAAACCGTATTGCTAATGGATAAACGATTACTTCCATCATGTAATACCTTCCATTTTCTGTCTGCAGTTCTGGGAAGTGATCAGCGATGAGCACGGCATTGATCCCACAGGGACGTACCATGGAGACAGTGACCTGCAGCTGGACAGGATCAGTGTTTATTACAATGAGGCCACAGGTTAGCTGCTTTCCTAACCATTATTATGTGCTTATTTTCAGCTTTGCCTTTTATCTATGAAGCATAACGCTTGAGATGTTAGTACTTTCTCATGTCTCTTGTAATGTGTGGATTGTATATTCTGTGTAACATCCAAGACTGTGGTTTCCTGCATTTATTGAGCTGTTATGATTTCTCTCTCGCTCCCTGCCTTCTCTTGTTCTCTTTCTTGTGGAGGAGGTAAATATGTGCCTAGGGCCATTCTGGTTGACTTGGAGCCGGGCACTATGGACTCTGTGAGGTCTGGACCCTTTGGGCAGATCTTCAGACCTGACAATTTTGTGTTTGGTAGGTGAAATAAAACATTTATCTTACTGAATAACTAAAGCATTTCATGGACAGGAAGAAAGAATGGCTCACTTGCATGTCACTCCTGCGCCTCCAGGTCAGAGTGGTGCTGGAAACAACTGGGCCAAGGGTCACTACACAGAGGGAGCCGAGTTGGTGGACTCAGTCCTGGATGTGGTTCGCAAGGAGTCCGAGAGCTGTGACTGCCTGCAGGGCTTCCAGCTCACCCACTCTCTTGGTGGTGGAACTGGATCTGGTATGGGAACCCTGCTTATCAGCAAGATCCGTGAGGAGTACCCTGACCGTATCATGAACACCTTCAGTGTGGTGCCTTCCCCCAAGGTAATATACCCATGTGATAGAGCATGAAAATTTGTAGTTTTTAATTTTGGTTTCTTTTGCCTTAGGTTCTCCCCTAAGATCATGAGACAAAAGAAAAGTTGTGTGTTTCTGTCCTCAGGTGTCAGACACCGTGGTTGAGCCTTACAATGCCACCCTGTCAGTGCATCAACTTGTCGAGAACACAGATGAAACCTACTGCATTGACAACGAGGCTCTTTATGACATCTGTTTCCGTACTCTCAAACTGACCACCCCCACCTATGGAGACCTTAACCACCTGGTGTCCGCCACCATGAGTGGTGTTACCACCTGTCTGCGCTTCCCTGGCCAGCTCAATGCTGACCTCCGCAAATTGGCTGTCAACATGGTGCCTTTCCCCCGTTTGCACTTCTTCATGCCTGGCTTCGCCCCACTGACCAGCAGGGGCAGCCAGCAGTACCGTGCCCTCACAGTCCCTGAGCTCACCCAGCAGGTGTTTGATGCCAAAAATATGATGGCTGCATGCGACCCACGTCACGGCCGCTATCTGACTGTCGCTGCTGTGTTCCGAGGCCGCATGTCAATGAAGGAGGTTGATGAGCAGATGCTCAATGTGCAGAACAAGAACAGCAGCTACTTTGTCGAATGGATCCCCAACAACGTGAAGACCGCTGTTTGTGACATTCCACCCCGTGGCCTCAAGATGGCTGTCACTTTCATCGGCAACAGCACAGCCATCCAGGAGCTGTTCAAGCGCATCTCTGAGCAGTTCACAGCTATGTTCCGTCGTAAGGCTTTCTTGCATTGGTACACAGGTGAAGGTATGGATGAGATGGAGTTTACTGAAGCAGAGAGCAACATGAATGATTTGGTGTCTGAATACCAGCAGTACCAGGATGCCACTGCTGAGGAAGAAGGTGAATTTGAGGAGGAAGCTGAAGAGGATGCTTAAAGATCAAGATGTGAGGGTCAAGTTGTCAATGCCAAAAAGTATCCACCACAAAAGTAACCAAGTAGCAAACTTAGTGTTGAGCACTGCTAGAATCAAACCTTAGTGTACGTTGGATATCGCCAGTCATTCATTGTGAATAAAAGTTGTCAAATGAAAACTTGTCTTTTCATTATTGCTTACATATAAATGATTGTCTGATTTAAAATGGTGTAAATATGAGGGCTTTCCAGTGATGGCTGAGTGTTAACACATAGAGATCAGCTGTTTCTCTGGCAGAGAATTTGAATGTACTGTTTCCTGGAAAAGTAGGTTTACTGTCTGCTTGCAGACATGCAGTAGGTCAAATACTGTTGGCAGATAATATTTGAATGTTTAATGAGGTGTAAGGTCTCACCCTGAGTCTCTCACACCCAAACTGGAAAACTCAAAAGCCTGTTCTGTTTGTTATTGTATACCGTCCACCTGCTCCTTATTCAGAGTTTTTAAGTGAATTCTCAGACTTTCTGTCTGATTTAGTGCTTAGTACAGATAAAA